GACTATATGTTTAACGTAGGCGTGGCTAATCCGTCGAAAAAACGTCACATATTAAGTTGTGGATAAAATTTTAGGCGCCCAAATGCCCAAATTTTGTTGCGCAATGAGCCAAATATTTCGAAATCCAAAATGAAAAACGGTCACAAAAGTGTCATAACAACGTATCCGTCACAATAATGTTGTTCAAACGTCGCCAATTTGCGACTATTGCCTGACTCTCTTTGTGGTCACAACTCGAAACCCTAAACCCTAAACATTTAAACTCATAATTGTGTGCCAAATTCCTTCCCAATCTCTTTTTCATATACTTGTGATCTTATTATTAAGTATATTGAGTGATATTTAATTTGTAAAGTACATTTTCATCAAAACCTAATGATTTCAAAATGTAAGATTGAATCCTATTGAGTTTATGATCAAAGTTGATGAAACAATGTGAGATGTTTTATAAATTTTGAAATTTATAAATTTCAAGTGTCATAATGGTAAATGTAATGTTCCTACTTTAATTTATAAATTTACATTCGGAAAATTGATCTTTTAATACTCAAACTTTGTAATTTTCTGTAAATTCATAGCGAGGGTTGCTAAACTGTCGTAATATAGTCACAAATGTATAACGAAGTTGTGACGACTCTGTTACGAACATAAAAAGTGTAAAATGATTGGTCTTTTGCACGAACCCCGAACCGGTTTCTCTTATAGCAAGGGCTGTTCCATCATGGTAAGTTGTATTATCTGTCATCTGTTACGTTACGTTTACATATAAACCCATGTGGAGAGTAAATAAAAAAATGTGTCTGCATATGTAGCAGCAAGGACTCGAACCAAGGTCTGTGGGTATTAATAATGATGCGTTACCACTAGATTGTAACTAATCATTGCATTGTCACATTGTCTTTTATATATTGGTAAACACAGTTTTATAACTGTTGTAATTATGACTATGTCGATATTACCCAGTGAGTTGGTATATAAATAGATGAAAAAGAAGAAAATTTAAACTTTAAAATTATCCAAACAAGTTGATATTAATCAAACATATTACAAATATTTTACAAAATCAATCCAGCATAATTTAACATTCGTCATAATTA